TTACGCTAACACTGCCCTACTGTACTTTTATGAACTCAATTTACATTACTCAACTAATCAACATGTCAAATCAGAGAACCTAAATTTGCTTATACCGATACAAAGGTCTTACGTAGGTTTTAAATACATCACGAATATCAGTTTCCTACGATGGCCCACAAGGGACATGCAGCATGTACTAAGTTTTGCACGTACACAAAAGCAAAAGCGGTTGCAAAATGAATTTCACATGCACAAATTCATTTACATGATCACAAAATATAACTGCAGCACACTAAGTAAATGTTGCAGCATACACTAAGTTTGACCTGCAGCATACACTAAGTTTGACCTGCAGCATACACTAAAAGTTTGACCTGCAGCATACAAAGTGTTGTTGATGTTGCCACCTTGTTCCCGCCTTTGCATCGCTGCTACGATCGGGCAAGATGTTCTGCCAAAATTGTGGGGCGCATCTCCCAGCAGATGCTAATTATTGCCATCAATGTGGTTCGACGAAGAAACGATCACTGGATTCAAGTGATCAAAAAGTAATCGAGGCAAAAAGATCTCGACAAACTGCCGGTTGCGAAGTATCATTTGAGGCGTTTATGGAGGCGAAGGGGAAAGAAAGGGCTGCTGGTTTCAAAGCCAAGAAAACACAAAAAAGCAAGTCACAGCAACCATTTGAAGTCAATGTTCAGATCGGTATTATGCAAAAAAAAGATGGACTTTTGCGCATTGCCAGGGGCTCTTGCTTACCCCTCAAGATTAGCCCAAGCGTGGGTGCTGAAGAGCTGCTGGCAAAAGCACGCGAGAAAATTGTCAGGTTCAACCAAAATGTATTCGCGACCCATGATATGGTAACCCTTGTTTATCCAGATAGAACGGAGGTAAAAAATTTACCTGGTAGCACAGAATCGTTCATTTTAAAAAAGTACAAAGAAGAGCTCGGAAAACCATATTCCAGAATTTATTTTTATTTGACTAAAACGTCAGACTTTTTGAAGTTCATGCTAAATGAAGCATACAGCCCCATCGAAGACGAGGAAGACGATGACATTCAAGAGGTAGGATTTTTAAAAAAAATTCTTTCCCAAAGGGTACTTGTATACATTATCCATATACACTCTTTTTGTATAAGAACCAGTAAATCTAGATTCAGGCTTTTTGTTCTTGAATTTTCCAAAATCAGAGGCTGAATTGCTCTTGATTTGTTGTTAAATTGATAAATTAGGCCGTGTCCAGGCCTAATTTTCCAAAAAGGGGGAGAGACAACCTGCATTTGCAGACAAGTTTGAATGTTCAATGAAAAAAAACCAACACATGGCTATTGCATTTTACAGTGGCTCAGCCTAAGCTTGTTCTTAATTTGTTCTTGACTTTTGACCAGTTTGAGGCTGTTTCTTTTATAAAATTGTTCTTATAAGAAAAGAGTGTATGGTTCCATTTTCTGACCCTCGCCAATATATAAAGTTCTAACTTCAAGGAACCCCAATATCGAGCCTCAGATTTCAAGAGCCTCAAATATCTTCACATACTGTATTTTTTTATACCTGAAAACTCAATAAATGTTTGTAATATATATTATATGTAATATATAAATTTTGACTTTTCAACAGCTCCTTGTTTCACCGTTTGCGGCAACTGACTGTGCAATGCCATCAACAAGAGACCCAGAAGCATCAACATCTAAGAAATTTGAGCATGAATCTGAAGCCCTTGAAACTGCTTTGTTACAAGCCGCTCAAATTGAGAATAATCCTGAGACAATAATAATTGAAAATATTGTTGAAGGTAACTACAGATAAGTTCATCTTATTAATTAGTAAATGTCTTGAAGCAATTCACAGACTTCCTATTGGTTTCCTAAGAGAAAAGTTGAGGCATTATTTCAAGGGCAGGAGGCATTTTGTGCATATTGTGAGGTCAGAACATTTTGCAGCCCATGCCAATTTTGGGAGATTCCTTTGGTACTGTTGGGAGATTATGTTGTCTTCATATATATGTACCTCCCAGTTGTCTTATGTGCTATATTCAAGCCCTATATTGTATGGTTCCTTTAGTGATTTTGAGATGTTATGACAAAGACACAACTATATAAGTTTTTCAATGGGCTTACAAGTAACATTCATGTTATAATTATAAACAGTCACAATTTGTATATATACTCTTTTTTTAAAGCCAGTAGATTTATGTTCAAGTAGCTCAGCCTCAGCTTGTTCTTAATTTGTTCTTGACTTTTGACCAATTTTAAGGCTCCTGTTCTTATCAAATTGTTCTTATAAAAAAGAGTGTATTTGAAGATCAAATCAACAATATGAAGTTTCATTTATGTCTTTGCTATACCAATCTTATGTGCAAATAATGCATCTCAATGCATTTTATATACTTCACAAATGGAATTTTACTCAATTTCTAATCCTTGTCAGTGAATGGTTTTATTTCATCAACAGGTCCTGCAATACTGGATGTTGTTGAAATTTCAAATAATGCAGCATCAGAGAACAACATAAGACTTGTTAAGATACATAGATCGAAACTAAGGCAAGATATGCTGGAGGTTTTTAACCATGATGATATTTTACAATGCAATGTTGATGTAACTTACATTGGCTATAATGGGCAAGAAGAAATTGGACGTGGAGCAGGGGTTCTTCGTGATGCATTAACATCATTCTGGAAAGGCTTTTGTAATGCCTTAAGTGTTGGTGCTCAGAGTAAAGTACCTGCAATTCGCCATGACTATCAAAAGAAAGAGTGGGCAGCTGTAGCCAGGATCTTGCTGTTTGGATTTATGAAGGAGCGTTACTTTCCACTGGTTTTGTCCCCAGCATTCATAGCAGCATGTTTGTTTGGGGAAGATGGTGTCAGTGATGACTATCTGCTGAAATCGTTTTATAAGTATATAGGTGAAGAAGAAAGAGAAGCATTGAAGAAATGCATGAGTGATGACTTTGATTCTACAGATGAGGATGTGTTAGATTTTCTATCTAGTTACAAATGCTATAAACATGTTACCAAAGAAAACATAAATGAGATAATTCATCAACTTGCCCATCAAGAATTAATTCAACGACCCAAATATATAATGCATTGCTGGTCCCCCTATTTGAAGATATTGCTGCAGTTTGATGATTTTAAATCAGTGGAAGCTCTTGAAAATTTTTACAATCAAAAAAAGCCAACACCAAAAAAGTTGATCAAACTTATAGATGCAAATCCATCAAATGATGCAGAGAGGAGCTGTTTAGATCATCTCAAGCGCTACATCAAGTCCTTGCAATGTACCTTGCTAGAAACATTCCTTCAATTCATCACAGGAAGTGATATCCTCTTGTGTGACAGCATAGCAATATCATTCAGTGATTTATTAAGTGATCCAGTTCAGTCTGGCAAAGGTAGAAGACCAATAGCTCACACATGTGGACCAGTTTTGGAGCTGCCATCTACATATCAGTCGTACAATGAACTAAGTGAGGAATTTACAGAACTCTTGAACAACAAGGATTCATGGGAATACAATATTGTTTGAGGGATTGAAACCTTATCTCACATTAAATCTTATTAATTGTACAAGCTGAATTTCTGTTCTTCAGTATTTACTCAATGTTTTGTTATTATTTAGGTATATTCCAGCATGTTTATTGTAACATTTTTCTGATAGTTTCAGTTGTTTTTCAGTTTTTTTTATTATTTTAAATTTGTTCCATATATACAAAGATAAAACTAGCATACAATAATATAAGGCATCAGCACAAAAATCATACATTACTACATATAATTAATACAATTGGCAAATAAAAGACAAAGAAATTAAATTTACTGCATAGAGAAAATTATTTAAAGGAGAAGTGCTCTCGATAAGTAGATTAAATGAGGAGGGAGCCCCCTCCCCTAAAATAATATTGACCTTAGATGAATTTGAATAAACCCAAGAAAGAGATGAAATTTAATTTTATCATGCTATGCATCAAAACAATTCCAGCACATGGGCCCTATAAAATATTCAAACAAAAGTTGTGAAATTATTAAAGAAAACAATTAGATCAGGGTTCATAAGTTAACCTTGTTCAATAAGATGATTTTCAATTGTGTTTTTAATTATATTATAAACAAAACACTACAGAGCTCTACAGGAATTGTTCAGTTTATTATAATTGCAAGCTTACTATATATTGGAAAAGTTGTAATGCACTTTGTTCATCGCTTGGAACACCTAGCTGTTGCTGATCAATTATATACTCAAAATATTCTGTATATACATTGTCTGGGTTTTCCTCTCTGATATACTCTTCAAACTGGTGTAATTCATCTTCTTCAACTTCTGTTTTACAATCATAAGCATTATAATATTCAGGCAAATAGAACATTATATCTGGTACTCCATGTACTTTGCTGTAGCCATTTTTTGAGATGCGATGAGAGTTCCAATGGTCTTTAACACTGTTGAGGTCATTTTGAAGTATTCTTGCAAAGCAGAACCATAGGCATTCCATATGGATATGATCACCAAGCAGTAAAGTGCCTTCATCTACAAGACCTTTGAAGAAATCCATCCACCAGCTACTACGGTTTTTTCGTAAATATGACCACCAACCCTCTATTCTCTGATTGGCTGGGGATGAGCAAAACCTGTGAGCCTTCATTCCTGCTAAGGCATCATTAGAGCCAGATCGTAAGGTGCTCTGGATTGCAGCAGCAGTACCATTTTCTGTACCCCTGTCTGAGACAAGTACTCTCGGGCAACCACCTGTCTCTCTTATTGAATCTAGGAATAGACTTGCAGTGACATTTGGGTTGTTGTTTGACCTAACAACCTCCAGCCAGAGAATCCGACGGCTAAAGCCATCTATGGCACCATGAACTGGAAATCCATAAGGCTTCAGCTTGTCATATCCTGGATTTGAAAAGAGTAAAAATAACACAAAGTTTTTCTAGTGCATTTTTCAAAGCCTCAGTGTTGCAATAATCTCTGAACTTAGCACCAGCATAAAAATTTATTTTAAACTTTTTGCTTGTGTGAACAAACAGTTAGCAATCAAAGATGCTATCCAATAATTTCCACGAAGTAGCTTTCTATGACTATCAGCAATTTCCAAAATTATTGTATTTAGATATCTCTGTTTGGAGATAAATTTGAATTCTTCTACCCCTACAAAGGAATTTTCAAAAAAAATCTACATACAAATCAGTCCTATTGAAGCTGAAATTATTTGTTTAATGGTTATTTTTTGAAAAAATACAGTCATGCATGTGGTGATAAATATTTGGGGACAGTACCTGGAACCCTATATCCCCCAGTCTAACATATTTCCCATGGTCCCTGAGCTAATACGTACCGTCTACATGCCATGAGTAATTTGGGCCTTCTGAGAAGAAAGTGCGACGACGTAGCTTTCTTTTCTTCCGTGCTTCAACTCCATCTGGGTCCATCTCTTTCATCACATTTGCAACAAAAGATCTTGGAACATGTAAGTGATGTTTCAAACGAAGGGCATGCCATATGCTTCTATATCCTGCTAGACTTCCTGGTCCACTCATTTCAGTCCTTATAATATGTCTTATATGGTTCTCATCTTCGAAATCTATGTTCTGTTTCCGTCGCAAGTTCATCAAATTAAGTTTCCGTTTCAGTGTCCTGACAGACATTTTGATGCCATCTCTTTCCAAGAACCTAACAATGAATTTGTATTGATAGCCACGATGGAAGTACTCGGTAATCAACTGGTTGGTTTCAGACTCCTTCTCGCACTTGTCACATCTGTCATCTTCTGATACTTCTCCACATGTAATACAGAACATTATGTTTGACCTTTGCTAACGGCGATTAGAAAAATTTGTCAAGAATAGCAACATCAGCAAACACCAACACCAACACGGTTTGCAACAGCATCAACAACACTTTGTATGCTGCAGGTCAAACTTTTAGTGTATGCTGCAGGCCAGACTTTTAGTGTATGCTGCAGGTCAAACTTAGTGTATGCTGCAGGTCAAACTTAGTGTATGCTGCAACATTTACTTAGTGTGCTGCAGTTATATTTTGTGATCATGTAAATGAATTTGTGCATGTGAAATTCATTTTGCAACCGCTTTTGCTTTTGTGTACGTGCAAAACTTAGTACATGCTGCATGTCCCTTGTGGGCCATCGTATTAACGCAATATGATATTGCGAAACATATGACGAAACTCGCTTGAAAACAAAATGATCTGAGGCCAGTAAAGATTCATGGGTCAGTTCACAGTAAGGAATACAGAGCCTGGTAAATCACTCGGAATCCTATGGATTATCAGTCAAACACTCGCCATTTCGAAAGACTTGAAGCCTATTTAGATTCAAATAGCGTCTGGCATTCCAGAATAGCATGTTCGGAAATTTATCATGGACTCAAATTGGTCGCGAAATGGGATAGAGTTAACGTGATATAATCTTAATGAACAGTTTTTCTCTTGAATATTTACTATAAGTTTATGTAGCGTGAAACCATGATACAAGCCATAATCCCATCTCACTTGACACAGAGACAAAATCACGATGATTTTTTCTCTCGTTACATAAGATTCAAATGTCAGGAGTTGTTCTATCAAACATTAACCGCACTTTTGCAGGGCTTGTTCGGGAGATGAATCATGCCCGTCATGCACTAGCCCCGTTTCAGGGTCACTGCACATGCGCATTATCACTTAAAGCGCTGGCGGGAAGTTGGGTGGTTCCAGACAAAACAGCTGTGCGAAGGCTGTTCCCTCTGATTGGTTTAAGACGATATTGTTTCGAAACAAAGGACTGAAGGTTTTGTCTCCCGAACAAGGGGGCTGTTCAGTGATTCTGAGTGGCGTTGAGCGTACCCTGGGTACCAGAGCCTCAGAGACCTTCCCTCGCCCTATCTTCTTAGCAATTCCTCTCCACCGTCCTTGTTCCCTTCGACTCTTTACTTTCTTTTGACTCTCTGAGGCTCTGGCACCCAGGGTATGTTAAGCGATGGTCAGCAGCATTTGAAAATAGGAAAAAAATGCAAGCACCATAGAATATTTTGCTGCCAAATTAGAAAAACATATTTAAGCTACTTTGAGATCTTGAGGAGGGGGGATAACTAAGCCTTATTTTTTGGCGCGGACGTGCCATTTTGGGTTGAAATTTGGACTACACGTGTCTAAAAAACGTGACCCATAATTCCGCAAACATGATGAAAACTATACCCATAATTCCGCCAAGCAAATAACGTTTTTTGAGACACAACAAAATCAGCAAACAAATTTTGTTTGTCCTTTGCTTAATAATCTCAATATTACACATATTCTAACTGGACATTCATCTTGTTAATGCAAAATTTTCCCCCTAACAATTTTGCAATATTTTTCGCAAAATGGTATTCATTATTCAGCATGTTTCTTCAAATGGAACCCACAGTTCCGCACATATTTCAAAAACTTACACCAATAATTCCCGTACTTAAAAACCTATTAAGGTACCCACGCGAGCTTTAGACACTGTGAAATAAATTGGCAAAAATATCAAAAACCCATAATAAATCTCAAGACAGTTTTTTTTTCATTTAAGAATGTTAAAGCGACTTCTCAAAAAGCATTCATTTTGGCAATTTAATTTCTAAAAAAAACCATTTTATGCGTCTGGAAACTGGAATTTCTAGTGGAAAGAAAGAAAAAAGGAAGAACTTGACAAGAAGCTCTTGAACAGCTACCAATATTGCAAATGAAAAACCACCATGGTATGATTACCTTAACTTCAAATACTTTCTAACTGCATCACTGAACTGCATCAAATCTGACAGTTACAGAATTTTCGATAAACGGTATGACTAAAGCTGTTTTTAAAGCCATCCATAAAATTCTTTCATCCCTCACAGTACAAACGAACACTGGCATTGAAAGAACTGGAAATGCTGTTAATCTGGTGGTGGCATTATTGAAAAAATAAATAATTACTAAGAACATTACTACCTGCAATTACAGAATACGCAGCCTGATTCAAATAAACAAAAAACATTTGCTCACTATCGTATAGACTTCTGGTAGCGTACTGGTATTCAAATGGCGAGAAACACCAAACAGTTATTAGAGAACGGCTGTTTGCCAATCATTTCATGGTGAGAATAATGATGCTGGTAAAAATGATAATGGTGATTTATGATAATGTGATTGACGATGAGGGTGATGATTAATTGTATTGATTTTAATGACAAAGAAGATGATGATAACGATAGATAGTTGATTATGATTAATGAATGATGGTGATGTGATTGACGATGAGGGTGATGATTAATTGTATTGATTTTGATGACAATGAAGATGATGATAACGATAGATAGTTGATTATGATTAATGAATGATGGTGATGTGATTGACGATGAGGGTGATGATTAATTGTATTGATTTTAATGACAAAGAAGATGATGATAACGATAGATAGTTGATTATGATTAATGATTGATGGTGATATGATTGACGACGCGGATGACGAATGATCATGTTGGATGATTGATAACGATGATTATAGACAAGCGGACGAGACCTAAAGATAAAAGAAAGTTGATAATTGTACTAAGATGTTGGTTATGTATGAATTGTATGATCTTACGTTCTTCTTAAGGCCTTTTCACTCATTGCAAAGAGAACATTAAATTAAATGTTTATGTTTCAGAAAACAGAACCTGTTAAAATACTTACTGCAACAACTGACACCAAAAAGTGGCCAATATTTAATTCAGGATTAGCTGCAAGTTTGAAATCTTCCTCTCATCAAACAAGCGTGATCGGTGGCCTACAAGAGAAATGACGAATTAACGAGTCAAAAGCAACGCCCACTACTAATACTGCTACAAATGCAAAAAATCAAGCCGTTATCCATGGTTACACATTGTTCAACATCGAGAAAATAATGTATAACAACGAACGTGAGTCTTTATTAACCTGCCTATAGAAATTAATCACCATGGCATACATTGTACCTGCAAAAGCGATATGTCTGCAATAGGAAATCACAGACAGGCCTTCTCTGAAGTAGGCTCGTGTTTTTTATTTACGACTAGATGACGAAGAAGCAGACATAACTGTGACAAACAAACTTTCGAAAATGTACCCCTAAATATACTAGCCCCAAGCTTGTGGCAAATGCATTGCCCAGTTTTTCGAGGTGTACATTCAATATCACAATCTTGAAAAGTTACCTTGTCCAGTAATCTCTGTCACTTTTCTGACAAATATTTTGCGATACACTCGCTGAAATAATTTATTTTGACGGATACTACTTTAGTATAAATATTTCAAGGGAATGACAAATTTCCTAAACTTCGAATCGAGGCATCTAATAGGGACTTGCTAGTGCTAAAACTACCATGAAATGACATTTGGCCAAAGGGACGGCCATTGATGTTTTCTTTGTAGGAGACCCTCAAGCCACCAACTAGGCTTAATGACGTTTCTGTGAAAAAACGATTGAGACCACGAGAAATTTAAAGAATCTTCTTATCAAAGATCATCTTTATGCCAAGAGACACCTAGTTTACAACAGACGGACAATATTAATTTCACGCGTAATAATAAATTCCCTATTTCAAAAGCATCGTTAAGTGGTTTTAGATACCTGGGGGCCCTCTATAGTTGAACAAACGGGAGGGGCTGGTTCAAAGGTTTGGGCAATATACCCCCTAAATATTCTCTTAATAACAGAAAGACAACGACGTTCCTTCCGAATATCGTATAAATCAAATTTTTGGAGAACCCAAAATATATTTTCACAACTAAAGTCAAGACCACAAACTATCGAGCCAGCCAAAATACTCCTGTATCTTCAATTTAACATTTTTCCTCAAATCTGGGCTCATAATTTGTATCTTAAAATGTTCTAAATAACTTGCGGACGGAATTTAGATATCTTTTGGCGCGTTAAGAGTTCGAGCGTTTGTCATAATCACGCCTCACCTCCTCAGTAATATGTCGCGGTAAAGATAACCAAAACATGATGGTGTTACGTTTAGCACTCATATTAACAATTCATATCCCTTAAGGAATCCAGTGGCGTAAACAGAATATTTTGAAGGGAAAGGATATGAGGATTTTGGTTGCAATACATAACGAGATGAGTAAATTTCTTTTATAATGTCTATCCACAAGTATGACGACGGCGGGATTTGGGGGCACTAAAATCATTTTCAGGAGGAGGGGGGCTCTCCAGAACAAAACTGTCAAAGGTATTATTATTATTATTATTATTATAAAATTATTTACAGAAGGCGAAGCAAACATTTTTAGCTAATATAACAGCTAACTAAAGCCTACTATTTAAACTACATTTACAAATCTTACATTAATTACAATGAATGGATAAAATAATATAGGAAATGTACAAAATTAAAAGGATGACTCATTAGATAAAAATATACAATTATTCGATGACTATTTAAATAATCCAATCTGCGCAACGTAAGGTTTGCATAGTCTGCAGTTGCATTTTGTATCTTTCAAAGTTTTAATCTTTTTCTTAAATATTGCCAAGTTTTAATCTTGGTGGATGAAATATAGCGTTGTGTCATCAGCATAATGGCATATTTGGCTATTTTATATAAACATAAACATGTCATTTATGTATATATTAAACAAGAGAGGTCCCAAAACTGATCCCTGTGGCACACCTACACTCGTAGTTTTCCATGCACTGAAAGAGCCGTTTATTTTGACTCTTTGTTTCCTTTGGCTAAGGTACGATAAAGTGAAATTCAAGGCGCTTCTACTAAAACCATAAGCATTGAGTTTAGCAATCATTAGGTCATGATTCAGACAGTCAAATGCTTTTGACAGATCCATCAATAGTGCACTGGCTGTTTGTTTAGTATCTAGCAATGAGGTGTATAGAATACGCTAGAGGGATAACTCTGTAGGGAGGCAGTGAGGCCTATCAATTTCCGCATTGCACGGCAAGAAGTGACTCACAGTGTATGGCGTTCTATTGCATCTCGCTATTAGGATTGTTGTTTCGTGCGTTTCTTTTTGGTCTAAGAATTGACAGACTGATAAGAAAAGACATTCTTATAATAGGGTTGGAAGTAAACGGCTCCCGCCAGTATTTCTACGGATATAAGTGGGGATGGATCAATTTTACTTCACCGGTTTGTTGACGATTAGGCCTATCCTTACCATTAGGTTCTTCAATATATTGTCGCTTTTCTGTAAAATTTATACATTTTTTCTTAAATTTTATTTCTTTGGTACTTGCTATATTCCTCCTTGTTTCATGACCGATGCCTTGCAAGGTGATCACTTGATACACCTCGTCAAAAATATCGGCTTTAAATATATGGCTTTTTGTTTGCGAAGGTATGCCAAAAAAATTAATGAGAGAAGTCATAAATAAAAACAAACCAGGTATTCCCCTTCAGATCAACAAACTCGTTTTGTTTAATAATGTTTAGGGACTGCGAAAAAAACGCTATTGATCCTCCAAAACAACGGTTGGTACCATCACTGTTAATGTCCAGAATTATGCTTTACTTTCCCATTTTCCTTAAAATCCAATAATTTAGGTTCGTAGGTGTTTCAGATTTTCCAGTTTAATCACTTAAAACTGAATTTTCGCCTGAATTCTTTGCTTAATATTGCACGTTTCATTCAAGTGTTTGTACGGCACTTCTCCGTGTTTGCCGTGCAAATGAGATTTCTCCTGGCTTCACTTCCTGTGGTCAGGGCTGCCTCGAGTTGACCCTCTAGCGTATTCTATACACCTCATTGGTATCTAGAGCTTTTTTGCAATTTTCTATGAGTCTGAGTAATGTATATTGGGTGCTATATTTCCTTCTGAAACCACATAGCAGTGGGGATAGAAAACCATAAGCGAAGGGAGTAATTTGTGATTCCATGATTCTCTCATATATTTTTTATGCTGACGGTAAGGTAGCAATTGGTCTATAATTTTTCTTACTGAATTTATCATCTTTTTTATGCAACGATGATATGTCTCCTAATTTGAGTTCTTTTGGAAATGTCATATTAGATAGGTCCTCATTAAATGTTCTTTGTAAAATTTCAGAGAAAATGTCTGAATATTCTTTAAATATCCTAGCAGATATATTTTCTATTGGTGAGGCCTTTCGTGTATTAAGTTTGTTTCTCTGATCCCAAATTTCCCCACTGTTAACTTCCCTAAATTCAAAGGGCTGTGGGTCAGGGTACATTTCTCTTATTTTTATGATACTTGGGTGTTTTTTATATTTCTCAATGGCTTTATCAATTGGGTCATTTATACCATCTGTAACTGATATGTGAGCTAAATCTTGTTGAATTCCTAGATCTTGTGTTATGTTTATAAAGTAGTTGTTGAATAATTCTGCAATCTTGCGGTCATCACTAATTAATTCTCCATTTTCTTCCAATGTAATGGAGGGTGTTGTTTTTATCTTTTCTGCAAAGACCGGTTTGATCGCTCTCCAGAATTTGCGATTATCTGTAAGATTACTTAAGTCTAGGTTCCTAAAATAACTGCTTTTAGCATTACGTAATAACTTCACACATTTGTTCCTTTGCCGTTTATATGCTTTATGATTTTCCTCATTTTTGTTATTAGTATATCTATTTTTCAATTTGCTACGATGCATTATTGCCTTACGTAATTCTTTCGTCATAAATGGCCCGTCGTTTGCACGAACATACTTTCTCTTAATGGGGGCATGTTTATTAAGAAGACTTTTAACTGAGATATCAACACTTCCGTAGTCTCTAAAGTTTAGTATTCGATGATTCAAAATTTCAGATCTAAAGCTCGGAATATCGAATTTTTTGTAGACTCTATATGTAAGTATTTTGGGACTTCTCTTGGTCACCTTTGATTATGCTCAGTATCATAATGTGGAAGTCAGACAGCCCTGTTTCAACATTAACCGTGTGTTAGAACACAGGGTTCCCATTCATTGCAGGACATCACATGACAATTGCATCATTGCGCTGCAATTGCATCAGCTTCTGTAAATTGTATTATTCTTAGGGTATATAAGGGGTGGCTTTATAGTTAGGTTCAGTCTTGCCGTAAGCTTTGTCGAACTCAGTGTACCTTGTCGCTAGCTTGTAGAATTGTGTTTGCCGTTACATTGTCGCCGTTAGCCGTTTAAGATATTTTTAGTTGTTTGCCGTGAACTGATGAATTAGAAGAAGTGTATAGAGAATTGGATAACAGTTTTTGCCGTATTTATCGTGTACGTTTCTGCGAACGACATACGAACTCACATTTGTAAAACCCCCTTTTTAAGTGGTTTTACATTGGTGCCCCGTGTGAGGACAGCCGAGCCGAAGGAAAAGAAGATGAGCACTCATCGATACCTGCGAACCACAGACGACCAGCCGATTTGCAATTACTGCAAAAGAGTAGGGCACGTGGTCAAATATTGCAGAAGACGCCCGTTGAAACAGCCATTGCAAGAAAAAGCCCCTGTGCCTGTGGATGCAAAAATGAACCCAGTTTTTGAAGCAGAAATTCAGACGAGAACGACATACCAACCCACCACTGACCCCTTCGTTGCTCTGTGCAAGTTGTTCCGCATGTTAGAAGACATAACAAAGGAGCTTGCTAACTTGATGAAAGAGCAATTGGGCCAAACAATAGCGTTCGACGAGGCAGAAATTTTCAAAACGCCCCTGACAACGATATTCAAAGAAATGACGTCAATCGCCGATGTACTGTTAGCCCCATCACATCTGTGCAGATCATCATCACCATTATTCTCATTACCAAAAAGAAAAGAGTTTCAAGGCATGCTGTATAAATGCGAAGAAGAAACGCCACAAGAAGACCAAGCCAGGAGGCTTGTTTTCAAAGGAGGGGGCTATGTTAGAACACAGGGTTCCCATTCATTGCAGGACATCACATGACAATTGCATCATTGCGCTGCAATTGCATCAGCTTCTGTAAATTGTATTATTCTTAGGGTATATAAGGGGTGGCTTTATAGTTAGGTTCAGTCTTGCCGTAAGCTTTGTCGAACTCAGTGTACCTTGTCGCTAGCTTGTAGAATTGTGTTTGCCGTTACATTGTCGCCGTTAGCCGTTTAAGATATTTTTAGTTGTTTGCCGTGAACTGATGAATTAGAAGAAGTGTATAGAGAATTGGATAACAGATTTTGCCGTATTTATCGTGTACGTTTCTGCGAACGACATACGAACTCACATTTGTAAAACCCCCTTTTTAAGTGGTTTTACACGTGTTTTGAAAGTGACTTCTACGGTTTTACAGGTACCACCAGCTTTAACTTACAAGTGATTTTGCCACCAAGTTTGCCGCGCATGCAGTCAAAAATGCCGAATCAACTGAGGAAACAGCCACGCTGAGCTGTCACACGCCCCCAACACCCGCCACTGCACCTGTCCA